GGAAAGCCAATGGAGAAGGGCAGAAATCATTGAACGTCCAGGATCCCAGTGTAATACCCTGCTCAAAACACATCATATTTCCTGTTTAAATATATCTTGCAACACTGTAATGAAAACAACAAATATTTGTTTGGAATATTTTCCTTAAGACACACAAAATGAGAGGAGCAGCAGAAAGGTTACATGGCTACAAGGCATAGCAATCCAAGGGGAGTGTTGATACTCAAATGCCATTACAAGACATTGACAAAGCAGCAGTCAAAATAAGATTTTTTTATCAACTACTTAGCCCTACTGCCTGAAGAAGTATTTTCTAGAATATTCAGCTGTTCATAATGCAGAGGAAGATCATAAATTGATAGACAAATGCACTTAATTTGCCCCCTTCTCTAGCTTAACTAAAATGAGGTTTCCTTGTTTGATAAACACCCAGTAAAACTATCCTTTGTTGGGCCAGGAACTGCAGCTCCCCCTTCCCATACACGTTTTCCTGCAAAAGAATTTGGTAGCCCATCTGCTTCACACTTTCATTGATAATTATTGGATCTATTTGCATTAAAATAATTAATAGTTATCTCAATTTTTCAATTTAGCAGCCTCTTGAAGTAATACCTGGAGAGAACTACTCATGGAAGCCTCTCTTTTAGCAGTAGCTTTTATTTTAGAATGGGGTTGCTTTTGTATGAAATTACTTTTCCCTAAGACACTGAAAAATCTACAGAGCAATTTTGTCTGTCTTTGAAAAAAAATATTTTCAGAAGTGGGTTCCTATGATTTGCTCCTTGGTACCCTAAAAAAAAGTTTGAAGATGCCTGGAAAGAGAACCATAAACACTTTGGAAACCAGGTAAATATTTTACCTGCCAAAGTTTGGGTTTAGACACTTAGCTTTGGAAGAACTTCAAAGAAAAGAAAATTTAAAAAATAAAAAGAAATCTTAGACAAGCATTTAATCATATTTAGCATGGGCAGGAGAAAATTTTGGACGGTACAGTTGGAATAACAGGGAAGAATTGTTGATTCCCATTGTCTTTCATGGAGAAAACCCTCGTTGATGAGAGGTTGAATTTGGATCTAGGGAGTTTCTCTCCTTAGACCTCTAAGACTTGAATGTGTGGGCTTTCATTTTCTTTCATTTCTTCCCTAATTTAACTTCTTGTATTTTATTCCTGTTTTCATCAGATGGAGCTGTGGCATGTTAGCAGGTCCTGCACCTGGAGGACAGATGAGTGCTGCAGAACTTCATCCCCGGGGTACCCATGGCCTCCCCTGCCATCTGTCTGCACCGTGCCAGGAGCCGGGGCTGCTTCCTCGCTGCAATTCCATGGAAGAGCCGGGTCCCGTGGAGCCCTGACTGCCCTGATATCTCCAGCACTTGAAAGAAATGTCAGAGAGTCTGCGAGGAGCAGAACTGAGAGCGCTCAGCAGCTCTGTGCTGCGCTTTTTTCCGAGGTGACTTTTCCCACATTGCTCAGAGGGGCTGCTTGCCCATCTCACCCCATCTCTCGAGCTGTTTGTCACCTGCTGAACCTTCTGCCTTCATCCCTTCCAGCTGGGCTTTTGTGGGTGAGCTGGGCTCTGCTGGTCCAGCCCAGGAGCACATCTTCACCGTACCCAGCAGGTAACAGAGATGTTGGGCAGGATGAATCCATCTCCTCCCCTCTGCTGGGGATTTGGCCGAGCCCAGCTGTGCCCTCGCTGCAGCTGGAGTCGGGCTCGGACCCTGCCCCTGTTGAACATTAACTGTATCCCTGCCTGCGTGCGGAGGGAGGACCGGAGCTGGGCTGACAGCAGCGACAAAGAGCTGGCAGGGCTGAAAGATTCAATTTAACTTTCTTTCTCCTCCCCCGCTTCCATATGCGAGGGCACACAGCGCTGTTCCTGCTTTTGAAACTTGCGGGGCAAAGGAGCATTGGTGTCCTCATTTTCCTTCCTCCCTATTGATGTATCATTGCCAGGATGAAAAAGGACGTCTCAAGAGCTTTTGAAAAAATGGGTGACTACTCAAGACATTTTATAAAGGAGGAAGAATGGGAGAGAAAATAGGACTCGGTAGGGGGTAGAAGGAGCCTGAATGTGTGCCTTGTCTGTCTATTCTTTCGCTTGAAACCTGGAGCTGTTGTTCCTATTTCAGTTCAAACTGTCACCTTTAGTTCATGATGGCTTTACTGCCCTTGCTCCTGAACCTCAACAGATTGGGGCTTATTTACCTATTCACACTCTGCTGTGGAACCTCATTAATAGGCTTATTAGCCACACCATTCACGTGCAGGAGGGCTCACAGAAAGGATCCCAGCCACTTTGAGAGGAGGAGGAAAAAACTGTAAAGAGATTATGCTCTCATTCAGCAGCCTAACTGCTATGAAAGGCTCCCTGGGCCCACTGAGATCTCTTGAAGCCTAAATATGATGACAGAATTGATCTCCCTCCCCCCCCACCCCTTTAATTCCAAACATGCTTCTGCTTTTCTCAGATTGAGGAGCTGGGCTGTTGTGGGCCACTTTAGGAGAATGTGGCTCATTTAAGAGAAAAGGCTGCTATTGATAGACTGCTATCTTTTCATCCTCCAAAAGAATAAATTCTGACAAGTGCTTCCAGACCTTGGAAATAGGTGTTCTGATTTGTCATTTTTAGTGGAATGCTTCCTTTTCTTTCAGAGCATGCAAAGATATCGATGAATGGGGAAAGGTATTGCAGCTTCCTGTGCCAGACAATAATTTATGTGAGAATGTGTTAACAATGTTTTCAATGGGCGATGGACATGCCCGGTGCTGGGAAAATTGGATCTTGACTGTGACATCTCAGCTTCTCAATTAGAACATTCAGATGTCTGTTGCTTTAGGAACAACAAAAAACCCTCCACAAAAACAAAAAACTAAACCTGTGTTTCCAATCAACTACAAATTTGTCTGCCATCCCTCATAAAGACTGCAGTAGTGGTGGGAAAATACATGCTGGGAGGTAAGTACATACTCTACAGAAAACTTCTTTTCAAGTTTTCAGTGTCTAGGTGTGTGTAAATAGTCTTACACTACGATGTGTGGCCTCAGTCCTTGAAAATCCCCTTGATCAATACTGCACACAACATATAAAATGTACAGTAGAGCTTAAATAAAGTAACATTAAATTGATCAACACTGATTAAATTTGAGGCAACCACCACTTATTGATTTTGTTGTCAAGCTGACTCTACACAAGCAAGCATCACACAGACTCCATATTCAAAACCTTTTAGTTGATGGTATCTAAAGCAAATGTTTTATTAAGCAAGGATCAGGCTAAGCTATATTGAATTCTGAATACCCATATTATGCAGTTTTAAATCTGTAGGTCCAAACAAATTATGTTTGCATAACTTTTCGACAACTTTTCCCATTTGGGCACCACACAGGTATTAAATGTGCACTGTCAGACCAATTCACGGCGCAGCTGCAATCAAGCTTTGGACTGAGAAGCTCATGAGGGTGATTTTTGGAGCGGGTGTTATCCGACCACCCTCTCTAGATGGAACTGGCCACAAGCCAACCACGGCTTCTGAGCCAGAAACACTTCAGGAGAGGTTTCAAGGACCGCTTTTGCGCTGGTACCATTTCTGTGTGAGGATGCAGATGCTGCCCAGCGCCGGGGTGCCGGTGCCGCAGCCCGGGCTCACCCT